AAAAGGAGATTTGAATAGAAATCAAGGAAGAAAGAAAAGGAAACTAGAAAGTAAGGTGTAACTAAATTAAAGGGATGGTTACTTTAGAAGAAGTATGTGTGGGTGTGCATGAAAAGAGACAAGACTGGTCAGAGGCAATAAAGCAAGATGAAAAGCCAAAAATATTGAGGAAATTAAGGTTTTTATCTTGGATTTTAAAATAATGTTGGTTTGTGTGTGTGTGTGTGTGTGTTTTTACTTTGTTTCCTTTATAAAAGTAACACATGTTCATTGTGGAAGAGTTGAAAATAAGAAAAGGAGAAGAAAATTTTTTGTTATTCATGAATAGCTGCTATTAATATTTTGGTGTATTTTCTGCTAGTCTTTGTTTATGCTTAGTTTTTTTGTTTAGAGGTTTTATTTAATTAGTTTGGATAATATTGTATATGCCATTGAGTATCCTTCATATATATGGCTAATATGCAAATTGTTCCCTTGGGAGTTCAACCGGGAGAACGGGAGTTCGATTACTCATTATGATGTGCACTGACCACCAGGGGGCAGTGCAGAAAATGGCAGGCGACCAGCTGGCCAGGCCTGGGGACCCTACCCGTGCACAAATTTCATGCATCGGGCCTCTAGTAGTAATATAAGCATATCTATCTATATAAAAGACTAATAGGCAAAGTGTCCCCATGGGAGTTCAACTGGGAGCTCTATTGCTCGCTATGATGTGCGCTGACCACCAGGGGGCGGCACAGAACGAAGGGATGCCCCTGCTGGCAGCAGGCAGCTGGGGAAGGGAGGCCCCAGCTGGCAGTCCGAAGGCCCTGATTGGCCCTGATCACCAGCCACACCTAGGACCCTACCTGTGCATGAATCTCATGCACCAGGCCTCTCGTCCTAACATAAGGTTATTCATGGAATCCTCATTTTTAACATCTGTTTAATATTAATAACAATCAGTTCTGCTTTCTTCCCTGCTTGCAGAACTCAGGTGTTTTCAGGCAGCCAAGGGCTCCTAGGAAGACTGCCTCCATTTCCATGCATAAAAGGTGAATTTTAGTCTTAGTCAATCATGGTTATAATTCCATGTCAGTGATTGGCTGAGGAAGGAGCAAGCGAATTAATTCTGGCCAATAATATATGAGAGCAAGTAGACAGGTTGGACTTATGGAGGAGATTCTTAGTCCTCAAAAAGTGAAACAAGAAAGAGATAACCCCCTTTTCTGCCTGTGGAATGTGTGTGAGAATGAAGTACTAGAGCTGATGGTTGGAGTTTTTGCAGCCATCTTCTGTCCATGAAGGGAGCAATTACGCACAAAAGATACAGAAGACAAAAGTAAGAAGAACTGGGCGTTGGATGATCTTGTCACTCCAATTAATTACACATCCCTGAACCCTACCTTGAGACTTTTTTTTTTATGGAAGAAAATAAATTCCCTATTGTTTAAGCCACTTTTAGTCCGTTTTTTCTGTTTCTTGTAGGTAGAAAGCATCCTAAGAGAGATAGCATTATAATTTACCTTAAAATTTTCTTCTTGTGGTATATTTGTGTTACCGTTTTTTCACTATCAGTTTTTGCCTTGAATAGTTTCAAGGAAAAAGTTACTTGCTTAGATACTAATGTAATTTATGTGTGGTGGGGAGGGGGGCGGGGGAAGGGCAGGACCAATAAGCAATAAAGAAAGGAAGCAGGAATAAACATGAACTATCTCAGGTCATCAAAGCTGAATCATTCTGAATCTCCACTCCCTGTATTGCTCATTGCTGTCGGCAGAGGTGCTTATCAGTGGCAAGTTACATTTCAGAAGGAAAAATTGGGAAATATGGTCTCAATATAACATACAAACAAAGATGAACACAAATAATCCTCCAAAATACAAAGCCATTCCTGCTTGCAATATATGGCAAGGCTTCACATTTCTTTTACAAGGCTTTATTTTTTAAATTTCTTTATTATAATAATAATAAAATTACTTTGGTAATAAGAAAGGCAACCATCATGCCATGGTAATACCTTTTCATATTAAAATTTGCTGTAGTTTCTACACTGTGTTTAATCCAAATGCATCTAGTCTATCATGTTGACAATAGTAAAGAACTAATGTTTCCCAAGTGCCTTCCAGGGGTAGACTGACCCTTCCAGAATCAAATTTGGGGCAAGGGTACTTGATTGAACATGATTTAAGGGAAGAAATCTAAATGCCTCTATGCTAACATCTGACAAATGAACAGTAGAAGAAACTCGCATTAACTGCCTCTGATTTCATCACTAGTTGTATTTGGGCCTACTTATGATCTGAGATTTGAGATTTGTTTGCTTTTTAAATATTTAGTTGTCCTAGAGTCAAATTTTGGAAAGGCCTTCTAATGTAAAAGAGGATGTGCCTGGGCAACATAGTAATCTTAATTACTACATTATAAAGCACGAGGCCACAATGACCTCTATGTAAATATTAGCACCAAAAAGTGGACTTAACACACATTGGTAACTTTAGAGTAACAATTATTTTACAATGTGATTCATATCTAGAAATTATTTTTAAACCTCCCCCCCCGCCCCCGCACATAGATTGTAAAATGAGATTAAAGTCATAGCTCAGTACAGTGCTCATAAAGGTCTTCCGCACTGTGGTTGTGACTTGTGATATTTCTCACTCTGGTTTCTGGCCAGGAGTATTGATTTATGAGTGGACTGCGATAGAGGTTGTAAGGAAAACACAGGCTAATCTTGAAACTCAGTGAATGACTCTTCTCTATGCAAAAAAACCTCACCAAAAAAAAAAAAAAAACCACCACCAAAATCCACCAAAAAAAAGCACAGCAGACCAATTTCATAAGATACTCATGTATCATTTTCTCTAGATGTCTCATAAGTTTGTCTCATGTAAGATTCACTTCCTGCACACTTGGACATTCTAAAGAAGAAACAACACTCAGAATTTGAAGAGGAACCCACTGTTTTAAAGTTCAACCGAGATCCTGAAGAGTGTAGGTTGAGGGTAGCTATAAAACTAAGTCCTATTAGAGATTTTTAAATTATTCTAAAATGTCCCACCAGATATGGAAAGGCAGAAACTGATCATGAAAATCGTTGGAACCAAGCACAGGGCTTGGCAAATGAAAAGTACATAATAAGCATTTGTTAAATTAATGGCTGCATAGATAAATTAGCCTTAAATTGTGAAGTAATGTATATATCGAAAGGGGAACTGCTTTCTCCACTTTCTTCTCTGATTTTCCTCATTCACTTCTGATTCCCATTTTTTCAACAAAGACAAATGAAGAGGGATCGTTTTCTGGTTATACCTATCTCCAGATCCCTGTGACCGGGACTTCAAGACTACGCCTGAGCTTGATGATGAGCAAGAGTCATTCTTTGATAATGTGACTGAAGCCTGTGCAATGGAACTGTTGAAGCTTGTAGTCAGTCGAGGTGGGTGGGGCTGTGAAACTGACCACATGGAAAAAGCCTGCAGGATTAGGAAAGCTTTAGGGACAGTCCATGTGTAACCCTGCCCAAAGCATTCAAATCTTCTGTGCCAAAGTGGGCAGGATCTTGAGAGAGTAGGGATAGGGAGGTCACTGAGTTAATTCTATACAAACAAAAGAAAACAAACAGTCTCATTCCTCTAAATACCACACACATATGCACCCGTCCTTGTCGTCTCTCCTCAGTGAAGCCTTTAGGCCCATCCCATGTTGGGAAATGCATTTGTGCGGGTAGTAGACACACAGGCTGGTGAGTGGACACTTTGTGGAAGAGAGGTATCTCTCATGAGAAGCAGAAGTGACTTCCAGCTAGCTCCCCTGAGAACAGAGGAAGCAGTGAGTCAGAACAATTTTGAAAACTCCTTGTCAGTCCTATTGAACAAGGCACTGGTGAGAAATTTTGAATCTAGTCCTCAAATCCCTACCTACCTTTCTGGAGGATTGTAAGGTGCAAACATAGGACATGTTGCCTAGTATCACTCTGAACATAAAACATGCCATTCCACACAAATGTACAAATGTGGAAAAAAAAAACCTCTGAAAATACCTAATTCACGCTGCTGTTCAGTATTAAAGTTTGTGAGACCCTACTGGGCCACTGGGTTACAGGTTCCTCTGATGTTCCCCCTTTAAGTTCAGTGATTATTCCTTCCAGACTCCGCATAGTACTACTGTTTACCTGCAGCCAAAGTCCTCCTCCCAAATCCTACACAGGGTTGTCATTATATCAGTGTCATATTCCCCAGAAGCCATTTGGGAAAAGTTGAAATGCCTCAGAAGGTGATTACAGATTTGCCGTGAGTTTTATACACAGAGTCACCTGTATTTCTGGCACTTTCCCAGGGACAAAAGGCCAACTAGTGACAGAACCCCTGCTGGTGGCCTAACTCAGTTTGCTTTGCAGAGAAATCCGAAACTTCTGGAAGAAAAGTTCTCCACCCTTGGAAGAAATATTCTGTGCAAACACAACCAAGTGGCCTCTCTCTTCTCCTCTCGGCCTCCATCTTCTGAAGGTTGTATTCTCCCCCCCCCACCCCCCTCCACCCCCGTGTTCTGCAGGTCTTAGACCTCTCCCCTGAAGGCAGGGTAAAGTCTGTCTATAGTGCTAAATCACAGTGTTCAAAGTCTAATGGCAAGAGAAGCTGCCCATCATAAACTTTGACACTAGGTCAAGGACTTTAAAGAAATGAAATGGTGAGCAGTTCCCTTTTTCTTCTTTTTTCTTATGCTTCTTCCCACCTTGTGCTTTTTTAAGTGGGGCAGTCATTGGACTTGCAGCTTATTAATAATAATCATGTGGCTTTTATCTGAAGGAATAATACAAAAGGACAGCACAGCTGTCCAACTCCAAAATGCCACAGTACAAAAAGGGAAGAGCTGAAGTTCCAGTAAGAGAACTGCAGGTCTTGTTTTTAAAGCCTAGGGGGGAAATATACCCTTCGATAGTGGCTATTTTAGAGGCAGCCCACTCTTGCAGAGCACAGAGGAGAAACAGAGGCTAAATAGCAAGACCCTTTGCAGGAGAGTTGAAACAAGAAAAAAGTTTTATTTTGAAAATACAGTCTTTAAAGATAAATTTGGCTTCCATTTTCCATATCCAGGTGCATCCAACAAGATACAAAAACAAACAGAACAACAACACCAAGACCCACGACATTATGTACAGAGCTCTAAAATGAGCTGTGCATATCTACAAGGAACTCGCATATGCTCTGTGAAGGGATGTACGTGTGTGGCTGTCTACAGTTCTCAGTCCTCCAGAAGCTGAGTTAACTCCCTGGAGCTGCAGGTGCGGCTGCAGCAGGGGCAGAGCTGGGGTCAGTGAAGGGTTGGGGGGGGGGTGGAACCCCCGGGTGGGAAGTGTGGAGGGGTGTCTGGGGAGAGGGGAGCAGGGGGGCACGGGGACAGATCCTGGGCTTCTCTAGAAGTCCTGCCGCGGGGTGTGAGTCAGGCTGTGCCGCCGCAGATCACAGTTTCGCCTGAACACTTTGCCGCACTGCTCGCAGCTGTAGGGCTTGATGTCTGTATGGGTGAGAAGGTGAGTTTTCAGATTACTTCTCTGATTAAAGGTTCTTCCACATGTGGGGCATTTGTGTGGAGATTCCTGTTCAGATGTGAAGCAAGCAAAGGGATTAATCCTTCACACCACCACCGCACCCTTCTCAATAGTTGTCTCATTGGTATCACATAACACACGCACGCACGGCAACAAAAGCGGGCACTTGGAGGAACAAATCCCTGCCCCTAATCCTCCAATCACTAACACACACGCGCAGGCACACAGCGGGGCCGATTACACTGATAACCGGGCTGCCGGCCACCGCGGTGGGCTTTGTGATTGCCAGCTCTTTACATTTCATCACCATGTCACGGGCAGGAAAAGGGGGAAGGAAAAACGCTAATCCTCTCTTAAGGAACGACATTCTCCCGGGTAATAAGTCTCCTCTTTGCTGGAAAATTAAACTATTCCTCCATGTTCTGAACACTACAAATTATGAGGCCCCTGGGAAAGAGAGAGCATATGGGATTTCACCATGACTCCATTATCAAAATTACCTTTATTTCCTCCCAAACACGAAAGCCTTACATGCAGGGCAGATGGGATAAAAATAATATAATTCTAAAATTAGGATGTAGACTAGAGTGGCCTGTTCTTTAAGAAAACATAACACTGTTTTATGTTAAATAGGATTAATTTTATGTATAAAAAAACGGAGTATTGCTTTTCCCACCTAGAAAAAATAATCTAAATAGAGTCTTTTGAGAGGAAGACTCTGCCACTGAACACCTTTTGTCGAGCAAACATGATAAAAACGGAACCAGTCACTGTTTTTGTTTTGCTTTTAACAAGAAAACAAACTTACCTGCATGTGTAAAGTTTTGTGAACGGCTAGAGTTCTAGACTGACAAAATCCTTTCCCACACTCCTGACACTTGAAGGGCTTTTCTTTGGAATGAATATACCTGAAAATCAATATAAGGTTTCATTGAAATGGCTTTCCCACCACAGTGAGGAGACACTTTTGACAATTACTGAACTCGACGTCATGAAAGGACAAAAGAAACAGGATTCCCATTATGTATGTTTTTAGATTGTATTTTTCCCCCCCACCTCCCTGTGTAATTCTGTTTATGGTTAACCTCAACTAACAGACTCTTCCCAACATTCACTGGACGTCGGTTTTATCTACACTTGATCGCCCTCTCTGGCGTATTCTGGAGCTCGAAATCCTGCCGAGTGAGCCCTTCTTGGCCTCTAGGATTTCGCCAGGGATTTAAACGGGCCAAATCAAGATGTAAAGCGAGGGGGAGTGGGGGGCGGGGGCTGACTTTGGCGAATCCCCGACGAGCCACGGAGGATCGGCACTCAAGTCCCACCTTGGGTAACAAACAGCTAGTGGAGCCCCAAGAGAGATACCCCACCCCCACTGCTGGGAAGTTTTTACCGGATGAAAACATTTACGTTTCTAGTATTTCTTCAATGGCCGTTGATTAATGCAGAGTTTAAGCTCCTGAGGGCGGGGCGGGGGGAGGGAGGGGGAAGGGGTGTAACTGTGTCTAAATTCTGGGATCTCAAGACCGACCTCAGCAAATAAATGTAAAAGGAAGAAGGTCCGGGCGTTAGGCTCTGGAGAGCATGCTGGGGTGGGGGTAGGGGATAGGGAAGGGAGGGAACCCAGTTGGGGGTGGCCCAGAGTAGACATCCAGAAATGGTCTCCAGGCTGCCATTGTGGGATTTGGGGTCCCCAGGCTTTACCTGCTACCCCTACCCCAAGGGCGACCTGGAGGAAACTGAGAAACCGATCACAACAACCAAAACCAACCCACCCGGTTTTAGCTGCCAAAGCATGAAAAAAGGACCTCCCGCGTGCATCCCGAGCTAGAACGCAGCAATGGCCGGTGAGGGGGAAAGGTAACTAGTGGGTCGCTGGGGCCTTTTGGGATCCAGGCTAGTTGAGCGGGGCTTTCCGTGGCACTCGGGGTGTCTCAGGCTTTGGTATTTAGGGCGACCTCGCCGCACCTCCCGCGGTCAACCTCCGGCTCCTTCTCACCTGTGATCCCGCAGGTGGTCCTGCCGCCGGAAGGCCTTGTGGCAGATGTCACACGTGTACGGCCTCTCGTCCGTGTGGGTCCTCTCGTGGATGAGCAAGTTGTAGGATTTGGTAAAGTGTCTGCCGCAAAACTTGCAGATAAACTCTTTTTTCGTTTTCGAGGGCAGCCTCCCCCGGGAGGGCTTTCTGTCCGGAGTCAATTTACTGAGGCCCGAGATGGGGCTGCCCAGCCCCGGGCTCAGCTTGGTCAGCTCGCCCATCTTCGGGGGGTCCTCTTGCGTGGCGGCCACGGCCAAGTTGGCAAAGTCAAAGCGGGGCCGGTCCTTGTGCAGGGCTGGGAGGACGTGGGCGATGGCTCCCTGCTTGGGGTGGAAGAGGTGAGTGGTGAAGGGCAGAGCCTGGAAGGGGAAGCGCGCGTCCATGAGGCCCTGCGCCGCCGCCATCTCGGTGAGGGTGGAGCGGGTGATCTCGTGCACGTTGGGGTACCCCAGCGTCCAGTGGTTCATGTGCATGGTCTGCACGGCGCTGAGCCCGTACAGGCCCTGCAGGTGGTCCACGGCGGCGGGGAAGGTGTTCACGGCCTGCAGGAAGGAGTAGTTGGTGAGCTGCAGCGACGGGTGGAGAGGGATGGGCGCCGGCAGGGCCTTGCTCCCCATTTTCCGGGCTTCCGGGGGGCGCAGGGAGCCGCCCCTTTCTTCCAGGACTCAGAGGCGCGTGGGTGTGGGGCTCCCGTGAAAACCCAGAGAGGCGACAGCAGAGACACCCTGAAAATGACAGGGAGAGAGAGGCAGAGTCGTGATTGTTATCCAAACCAGCTCGGTCTGAACTTTGGCGCAGGCGCGAGTTACCACACCTTCCTTCGCAGTCCTCCCCACCCTCCTCCCGCGCCCCAAAGAGGTGGTGGGGGAACCCTTGCGCCTGGCCAGGGCGTCAGGCGGGCCAGGAAAGGTCCCCTGTGAGCTGGGGACCCCCTGGAAGGTCGGGCTCCTGCAGGGATGGAGCTGGAGACTCAGGTCCGGGAGAAGGAAAGGGGGCAGGGGCGCTCCAGCAGAGGCAGCGCCGGGTCCCCACTTCACCCTGTCCAGCGAAGCTCAGTCAACCCCCACAACCCTGATGCCAACACCACGCAGGCCCCGGCTCAGCCCCTGTCGCCTGGGAGCTACCCGAGAAGGACGGGCTCGGGGTCCCACCCGGCCAGGCCCGCGCAGCGGCTCCTCCCGGTGCGCCCCGCACTTAGCCGGGCCCAGTGGCCCGGGTGCCGGGAGCGCAGCTGGGGGTGCTTCGGGCTCACGGGCCCTCGAGCACTCGGAGAGGCCCGCTTCGCCCCGCGCTGACCTCGGAGGTTTTCTTTTTCCTTCCTCTGCCTCCGTCCCATTCATCAGCGGTGACGGGCCGCAGGAAAGAAAAGTGACACCTCCGGGGCCGGGTTCCACCAGGAATCGCCTCCTCCTTCCCAGGGGCCTTCCACTCCCACCCCCCACCAAGATCCCTTCCAGATGGTTCGGCTCCCGGGGAGAAGGTGGGGGTGGGCGGAGAACGTCTCTGAGGCCCGAAACCCTTCTCCCGGGTGGAGCGCCAAGCCCCAGGGAGGCTCGAGCGGCTTCCCCACCTGGTCCCCGGAGCGGCTCCTACCCCGAGGAGACCTCGGGAGTAAAAGGGTGGAGAGCGGGCTCCCTGGGGAGGGAAGGGGAAGGAGCCGCAGGGGGCCCGCAGCGGGGGATACAGCAAGGTCCTGGCGGCCTGGAGGAAGCTTGTTTCTGCCCCTGGAGACGCGTGCTCGGTGCTCTTGCCACCTGGACGCGGGGCCGAGGTCTGCGGCCTGGGCCCAGGCAGGGCGCGCACACTCTGCTCTCCCTGCGCCCCCAATGGCAACACGGAGGTCTGCTTTCGGATCCAGGTTCCCAGAAGCACCTCGCGTGCATTCAGGGTGGGCCTACCGTCTCCCACCGCCAACCCCTTCATAGCACCGGGTTCTGCCGGCTCCTCGGAACCGCACCTTGTCTCCGAGGGCGGCTCTTCAGGTGCGGGACTCCATTGCTACAAGCTGTCCCTGGAGAGGAGCGGGCGGGCCCGGCTGAGCCATCCCCCTCTCCGCCTGGCTGTTGAAACCAGCAGAAAGGTGGGGGAGTTTGTTTAGCCTCCCCTCTCCACCCACCCATTTCTGCCCCTGAGTTTTCTTCTCTCGTGTGTGGTGTTGCCAGTGGCTCTGAGGGCAGACGTAGGGGGCTGCGCTAATGACACAGCGCTCTGGCAAGGCGGTCTGGCTGCCTCCACCAGGCCCACACCTTCTCTCCCTCCTCCTGTGCTTGGAAAGGCTCAGAGACAGGGATTTATTAATGAGCCGCTTCTGCCTGGTGGTATGCGGTCTGGGAGTTCAGGCCTGGAGTTAATGAGAGGTGTGTAACAGTCAGAGGGTCTCAGTCAGACCATTCAACCGAAACCGTAAACCTCCTTTCGGAATAAACTTTCCCACCACAAATCACAATTCATTTTTGTTCGGTGGCAACCCCTCCAGCCCTCTCCTAGAGAGATTAGAAAAAGGATTCTCCTCACATCCCTGCTAACCTGTCTGATTATTTCCTCTTCCATTAAAATAAATTGCACCTTTATTTCCTTCTTCTTGCATAATGAGGGCCAAGAAGAGATTCAAAATAGTCTTTTCCCCCCGACTAGTGTTAAAAAGCAGCCTCCCCGATAGAGAGGAAACCAAAATTATTATTTGGGTGTATTCCCAGATTTCTTAGAAATAAATACAGGAGGCAAGCACAACTCCCACCATGTTCTGTGTGTGTGTGTGTGTGTGTGTGTGTGTGTGTGTGTGTGTTTTGCCAGTTGCAGGACTACCACAACTTGTGGTTTCGATTCCAAATACACGAAGTGAACTCTGCCATAAAGGTTACATGTTCATTCTGCCAGCATAAAGTTGAATGCCATCTTCCTTCCCCTTTTTCCCCCCAATGGTTCGTAACACAAAAATTAAAGATTCCATTGTAATTCAGCTTCGTGGGGGTACACAAGTGCTATTTCACAGTCTGTGTTCATTTTAATTTGCAGGACAAATGGTTTCTTCACAGAGGAGTAGACCATGGGTGACGTCTGAACCCCTTCTACAAACAGGACAACCCTAAATATCCACCTAACATTTTTGCCATAAATAATTAGGGAGTTCAGATTTCCATTCTCCCGCCGAGTTGCTGGAAATATATGTCAAAAAAAATATTTTAAGTCGATCTACAGAGAGCTACAGTACTTTCGTTTTGTCTGGAGTTGAGCATGGAGCTCCCATACTCTGTCTCAGGCAATAACAGTTATCGTTTGCTGTCATTTCTCCACCAGGCCCTTTGGGACCATTGGTTACTTTTAATTTTGCAAGGAAAGAAATTTAAACCAATGAAAATACAGAAGTATTTCAGTGGAGCTGGGGCTGGTTTTCTTTCATCACTCTTCTTCACAGGAATTTCCAGGCATGTACAGAAGTTTTGTAAAATTTAGCCCACTGGCTGTCAACAACTGAGAGGTGTACATACTAATTTCAGTTCGGTGAAGCTTTCAAAGCATTGGAGAAGAAAGGGGTAGGTGGTAATTGGATAAGGAGTCTCGCTTTTAGGTAACAGTGTCGTTACACTGAATTATCTAAAAATAATATACAGTCAGGGGTCATCTGCTAAAACCTGTGCGTGGGTGTCTGAGAGGGCTGACGGATAGATCGATGGGCTCGCTGAATTTCAGCCCAAACGCCACAATGGGATTTTCACATAAATCAGAGAAGCTACAGTCCAAGTGGATCTAAGGAGGTCATTTTGAAAAAGTGAAATAAAAATGGCCAGACTGGATCAGGTGAACTGAGAAAAAAAAAAAACCGCCAGCGAAGTCCCTGCCCCTGTGCAGCGCCTCTGCCTTCCCAAGGAGTTAATTAAATTAAGATGCCTTCCGCATAAGGGTTCTGTTTCTCTCTGCTCCCTCGCTCCCCCTGCGTGAGTAATTTTCTTGTTCTGCTCGGGACTGCAGCTTGTTTTGCAGAGAAACGAGCTGTCTGCGGCGTCTCGCTCCGGGAAACGCCAGCCCTCTTTTGTTCTCTGCTAACAGGTAGGGAGACGGATCCAGCGCTCCCTCCACAAACACCCTTTTCTCCCTCCTTCTTTCTACAACCGCAACTCCTTCTGCTGCTATTTCTTGAGGATCCAAGCGTTTCAGACCCGGGGGAATTTGCCTCCCGCCCCCTCCTCCAGAACTGGAGGGTGGGAGGATAACCAAAAAGGCCAACAACACAAGGTTGGAGAATTACCTAGGGTTGAACTATGACTTCCCTTTTGAAACGCGTGAGCTAGGCGGGCGCTGTGTGTCCTGGCCCGTCCGCGCTGCGCCGCGGCTGCCCTGGGACGGGTGGAGGTGGAATCCTAGGGCACCCGGGGGCAACGGGGTTTTTTATCTCAGGGTATGCTGATCAGCTTTTATAAGAAGACCCGATGAATGCTTGGATTAAATGTTGCACAACAAAACTAAAAACTGTACATACAAGTGTGTGTCCATGGGTGTTCGCTGGGAATGACGCGCCTGGGATCAGACAAGTGAGAAACAATGCCCAGGATTGCATCCACAGGATCCCTTCTCACAATTTCTGAACTTGTGGACCGCCGGGCCGAGAATCGGCGCCCCCTGCACCCTTCCTTTCTCAGGGAGCCTGCAGTCCCTTCCCAGGGCGGACACTCACCTCCCGCGGAAAGGTCCGCCGGCGCCGCGCCGCTCAGACCCGCTCCAGGCAGCGAGGCGCACAGCTTGAAAAGGTCATTGGGTCCACGCCGGGCAAACGTCTCTTTCCGCACGGAGTCCCGGCAGCCGCGGACATTCTCTGGAGCATTGCGAGCCGCCAAAAAAACCGAGAGTGGATCCTCGCCTTCGTCGGAGTCTGTGGACGTGGAATGCGTAAAGACCCACGGCGCTCGGAGCCGGCGCTCAGCGCTC